TCAGCATGGCTTTCGCGCGCGTGCGGAAGTGCGAAATCGGCTGTTAATTTGCTCGGAACGAATTGCGAAATATCGAAGTACGTGAGGCCACGCAAACTCACCGGCGCAACAAAACGATTTTTGACCAAGGCCGCCGATTCTTCGAACACCGCCGCGTGCACCAATCCAGGCGGCCATGCTTTGACTTCTACGCGCGCAGGCACTCTTTCCAAGTTTTTCTACGTGCGAGTTTCCCGTACCTTTCAAGCAAGCTACCCAACGTGCCCCCTTCCCGCGTGTTTTGGTTTTCAAGGTCGCCCTCCCGCCGCATCCTCCCCCCTTCATCGACGTCGGGCCCGATGCTGAGCCTGAAGCTTCTGAACTGCAGCGGTGATTTGTGGTAGCGCGTCGTCGACTCCGACCTGGGAGAGAGGGTGAGACATCTGTTGCGGTAGTTTAATTACGGCCGGCGATGAAGCCGACACTGCGAAACCGTGCACGGATTGGGGCATTGGGAATGAAGTACGTGGCGAGAGCAATTTGGAGGAATCAGATTGCGAGAACGACGAAACTTTGGAGTCAGTGCCTCATTCAGGTTATGCCACGGGCCTCTGCGAACGAGCACCCTGCCCTTATCGTTCCTGCTCTTCGAAACACGTGCATCACGGACTTTTTGGGGCAATAAAAGTTTTAGTTTTCACTCACAACTTTTGTACAAGCTGTGTTTCATTTACTACGAACTTGGGGATACAGAGAACGGATGCCGCGTCACGCTCAGGTTCGTTATAAGCGGGCTCGACTGTATATATATTTGTCTGCATGTAACAGCTCGTGAAGATGGTTTCACTGCAGTGTAGGGGTGTTAAGCCGTGAAAGCATCTATTCAGGAGAAATACGCTATGCCGCAAAGCCCCCCTTTGAATTTAAAAGGGCCTAAGGGCCTCGCAACACATTTTTGAGCATGGTCCGAAAACGCTGGCCATCGGTGGTCGAGGCTACCGATCACACGGGAGCCATATATTAAAGTACAGCACACGGCCTGCAATTCACAAGAAATTTTCAGTCAGCTAAAAATCGCTCTCTCCTATCGGCAAATGACGCCACAAGCTCACAAATCACTCGTATCAGCCATTGGCTGATTTGAGCATGGGTTGCTCGGTCGTTATTGGGGCAGCCGCAGGAAAGCGCCACTTGTCCACGATACGTGCGCCATCGCCCTGAAAAGCCATGTATACGAAGAAAAGAGAGAGAGAAAAAAGTACTCAAGGTCACGAGGCTTGCTTGACATATTTTCCTTCCCAGTGCCACCCCTCCCTGCTTAGCTTTCAGAAATTCCGTCGGGACGAGAAAAGAGAATGCAATTGCAGCATGCGACAAATCTTTGCAATTCGACTAGCACTGGACGGATTCTAAAAGTATTTACGGCGGTGAATTCGTGAGGCAATAAGCTTCTTTAGTGAATCTATTACATGGCTACTTGAGAAAGGATTGCAGGGCCCGAATAAATGAGCATATTGATTAATTGATTAATAATTTTTCAAGTTTGACAGCTTGTTAGTACAGCTTATATGCTCTAAGTATAATAAATTTTAAAATGTTACATATTTTAGAGGTGATCACTCGAATCCTACTGAAAGTCAAATCCTGCTACTACTCAAAGTTGTTTAGACTTTCTTTGAAAAAAAAAAAAGGCATTTGCATAGAAGCCTTATTTCAGTTTTTAAAAAATATTGTGCAAGTTAGGTCATGATAAATATGCCCATTTTTCTTTATATGTGATATAAACGATTCGAATTCGATTTAAAATTTTCGACAAAAATCACTATTCGCTTCTAATTCACTTCGAATATAAGATTCACTATTCGCAAAAGCCTATATGTTCGATCAGCGCAACTAGACGTGCACAGCACATAAAACTCAAACACACACAGCGCTGTTTGTGTTTGAGCGTTCTGCTCAACCAGCATCCAGTTGCGCTGTTCTAAATTCAACTAGACTTTAATCCAGTGCACTGTTGAAGCTCTCAAAACATCACAAAGAAGACCTGGTTAGCCGATTGAATCAATGCGATGGCCCCTTCATGACTAAACAAGATGGCCCCTTCATGAACCTTGGTGCTCCGGGCAGGGGCGATGGCAACAACACCGCAGTCTGACAGCTGTCTTGGCGTTATCTGCACATGAAAAATTCCCCATTATAGTGATAAATTATGGTCGCTTTAAGGCTCTCGACTTAAATATAACTTCTAATTAACCAACATTATGGGCTTCTATTTTCGAATCGCTGCAAGCAGGCTTGTGGGCATTGTTTCCAAAGTTTCGTCATCGTCGTCATCTAGTTCTTTCATATAGCCCTGGCGGTGCATTTCATTCACAATGCTCTCATCTGTGCGAAATTCGGAAGGGTTGGCATTATCATAAGCCGTAATAAAATCATCGAAGCAGATGTCCCACCCTCCCATGTTGGAGTGCACAATGCGCTGCCACAAATCGCCGCCGGGTGGTTCTGTTTGTGAGCTTTGGGCTCGGCATCAAGTACGACGTTCATGAAGTTGACCTCGTGTAAACGGTTTCGCACACATGCAGCTGTCGCCTCTGCCCACGAAGCCTGGACCATTTCCATAGCTGAACATGAGTACACTTGAAGTGGTAAGCTGGCAGCGGTCAACAGCTATGAGCACACGCTCCACGACGCGCTGATTACGCCCAAGCCAAGCTGTTGCTCTTTCGACGTTTTTGGTCATGCTTTTGACGTTTCGTTGAGCTGCAGGATAACGCGCGGAATCTTCCCATCCTTCACACTAACATCCAGCACGGTGCGCCCCGCCGTGGTGGTCTAGAGACTAAGGTACTCGGCTGCTAACCCGCAGGTCACGGGATCGAATCCCGGCTGCAGCGGCTGCATTTTCGATGGAGGCGAAAATGTAGGCCCGTGTGCTCAGATTTGGGTGCACGTTAAAGAACCCCAGGTGGTCGAAATTTGTGGAGCCCTTCACTACGGCATCTCTCATAATCATATGGCGGTTTTGGGACGTGAAACCTCACATATCAATATAGCACGGCGTGCACCTGTGACATACAAGCCAGGACAAATGGAACCACTCCGCGCCTGTTTCAAGTCATAAAAAGAAACTTCTCAATTCGAGCCAGCATGGCTAGTGTTGCACAGGAGTGGAGACGGGCAAAAGAGTTGCGATAGAGTGAAAAGAGGGGAGGATACGGCGGGAAGGAGACCTTGAAAACCCAAACGCGTGGGAAGAAGGTAGGCAAGTTGGGTAGCTTGCTTGAAAGGTTAACGGACTGTGCAACTTACGCGATTGAAAACGAGGGGAGTCTACGCACGCAGAGGTAAAAAAGTTGCATTGCTTGTGCGTACTCCACACATTTTGGGACTTATTTTATTAGGTGCGCAGTTGTGGAGCGCTTGCTCATAGTTGTTGACTGCCCAATAGCCAACTTGCCGCTTTGGGTGTTCCTTTATTCAGCTGTGGAGATGGTCAAGGCTTCTGGGGCTGAGGTGATGGCGATATGTGCGCGAAACTTTTTCGTGAGGCTGACTTCGTCAACATCGAACCTCATGCCGAGCCTGGAGCTCCGGCAATAATTTGTGGCAGCGCTTTGACTCCATGAGAGGGCGGAATTATATAGTCTGGAATGGTTTCATTACGGCTGATGAGGATACAGTATAACCTCATTACAACGAATCTGCCTACATATAGAGTTTCGGATGCACCATACCAATGGGCGTTATTATGCCAACCACGCTTTTTGTTTCGTTGATCGAGCTTCGTTTACTACGAATTCTGGTACTGGTACAACAGAAGTTCAGATATAATTGACTAAAATGTGAGGCCAGCAAGGTGATCAGGACACCTGACAGTGGACTTTTGTACCCCGGTCGTCCCAAATTCATTAACTTCAGACTCGAACATATGCATACTTTGGGGACAGGAATGGCGTGCCGCGGATATCGATGTATTGGTCGCCGATCTGCGGTCAGTTATGCCTAACTAATGTGACGAAAGAATCGGCAGCTATCGTATAAACCGGAATATAGGTCGAGATATTTTCAATAAAACAACGAGATAGTCGCCCCTCGTCTTGTATAGCGGTGTCTAGCCGACAGTGCAGCGCTGTCTGGCAACATGTGGTTTGCATGTGCAGGAGAAGCTGGACCCGGCCATATTCGCATTCAAATTCAATAGCAGGTTTTTTTTTTCTCTCTTGTCTTTTTTTTGTGTTCGTGATTTGCCTCCGTTCTGTTCTAAGTTCTTGCTCCACTTGACATTGCATTTCATTTTTAGTGCTCTTTTTTTCGTTCACTGAATATAAGTAGCGGTACGAGAAGGCAGTACTCGGCTGTGTTTAAACTAGAAGTTGCTGAGTTCGCAGAAGCGAATGGAAATATGGCTGCTCAGTGCCGCTTTGGTGTGTCAGAAAAAAGCATGCGCTATTGGAGGGTGCAGAAAGGGAAGCTGCAGATGTGCGATCCTCGGAAAATGTCATTTCGTGGACGAAGCGCGGTTCATCCGCAGCTGGAGAATGCGCTAGGGAACTTCGTGCGGAAAGCTCATGCGTGCTCGCTGCCAGTGACCAAGGATTCCATTCGCAAGAAAGCTGTGGAACTTGCTCGAGAAGCTGGGCTCACGAGAGAAGATTTTAGTGCTTCAAACTCTTCCTTCGCGCGCAGCATTGAGGTGTCCCAGGTGTCGCCGCGGGATCGGGCGGTGTGCTGAGAGCATTTTCGGAGCTTGGTATGTTCGAATGAACCGTCCGAAGTGCTTGGGCGTTCGAACTACCGGGCGTTTTCGCCCATTGGAATACACATAGCTTTCACGGGACCTCATTGTGAGTTCGAATTAACCAAAAGTTTGAATTAAGCGTGTTCGAATTAATGAGATTCGACCGTGCTATGAAAACTGTCCTTTTCCTGTGTTGTGATCAGAAGTGCCTTGGCGGGGAATGTTGAGTGGGAGGAGGGGGGCTCGCTAATGATGGCCAACGATGCTTGTGTTCGTGCAGGAAGCCGACTGCCAATGCCTCCTGGGCCTCATCCCTTGCTAGGACGTGGCAGGGGGGTCATAATGGGTCCATCCATGTTACTCAGTAAGTAAACTGTCATTAAGCCAATGCTGTGCAGCTTCTGAGTGTAATGCAGGTGGCACAAACTGCATTTGGGGTGTACAGTCGATCTCGTATGAAACGAACTCGATGGGGATCGTGAAATAGTTAGATATATTGATGATTCAATATGCAGAATGCGTATTGAAGGCTTAAATTAGAGTGTTTCAGGTCAAGGAAATCGTTACAAGCGCTAACTTAACGATTTGCTCACAGTATATTGAAGAACAAGATGTCAACTGCAAGTCACCGCACTTTCTTGCATGTAAACAGTTTGTTGTAGACTTATCTTACTTCTTGCGTGCCGTCAAGTTCCATTCATCCTCAATATTATTAAAGCTTTTACGATAAGCGAATTCAGCTCCTCCGGCCACAACAGCGTTGATTGATGCAGAATGTTGATGCAAGCTTTGTAGCGTGGCAGAAGGTTGATTAGGAGCGGCAGCGAAGGCGTTGGCATGTTCATAACCGCACGGATACACTTCTGCGGCACCTGCAATGGCAGCCGTGATGGTCGCTCACTGTGTGAAGTGGTGCCTGGAAATGCTGATAAGTCGCAGAATTCACTGACGCCCTATATGTCGTTGTCAGCGGTTGTGACGCACCGAAAATTGTCACCTGGCCCGCAAGGAAAGTTTACGACGTTGCTTTACTCAACGTCGCTCCGAACGCCAGTCATAATTTTTTATCGCAACATGCTGGTCGACGTTCAGATCGACTCCCGAATGAGGATTTATCAGAAACGAGGCGAGAAGTACACAAGTCCAGAAGGTACAAAAGACAACACAGGGTTCCCACCGTCGACATGTTACCTATATTGATGTCCCTCATGCCTTTGTAGTTGGCAGCCGCTGCTTTCAGCTGCTTTGATGCGAAAAATTAGAAAAAGCATAGCCTTTGAGATGTGCATTTGAAAACCGAAAACACCAAAAATACGTCACGAGGTTGCACATCTCAAAGGCCATGCTTTTCGGGCTCGCATGGTATTGTGTGTTAGCAAACAAGATAGGGAATGAGAAGTTTGGAACGATGTTGCCGAATCTTTTGGCATTCTCATTTGGGTGTCCCCAGCAATCGGTCTTTTTGAAAAATACTATACCCGCGCGTTAGGACCTGCAGATCATGCATCAAACATAACGGTGCACTCGCAAGCGCCGCACAACAAACCATATTAGCACAAGGGAATAACACCCTCTTTTCGTCACCTGCGTGCGCAAAGAGATCGGAACATGTTAGAATGTGGCCGAAAATTGATGAATATTTTCTAGGAAAAATGCACTCTGGTCTTCGGCGCGGCACAGCATCCGAGATAGCATATGTCCTGCTCTGCGGTCGTTTAATATACGGGTGCACCGGCCCCATACCCTTGCATGAAAAATTCAAGGGAATTTCTCGACTGTTCAATATAACTAATAATTCGATATATCTGAGTTTGATATATCCAAGATCGACTGCATGTGAATCCAGCCCCTTCGGCTACAACAGCGTTTATTGGCACAGAACGTCGATGAAAGCTTTGCAGCACGGAAAAGGTTAGTTAGCGGCAGCAGCGAAGGCATTGGCATATTCATAACTTCACGGGTACACTTCCGCTACACCGGCAATGGCAGCCATAATCTCAGCTTCGATGCAGTCAGAAACAGCTACATTGTCATCTGCACCGATGCAGTCGTTCACTGTCCGAGATGGTGCCTGGAAATGCTAATAAGCTGCAGAATTCATTGAGGCACCGTACGCCGTTGTCAGCAGTAATGGTGTAATGATGCACTCGAAGTCATCACTTGGTCCGCAAGGAAATTTTACGACTGTGCTTTACTTTACGTCGCTCCAAGTGTCAAACCATAATTTTTATTGCTACGTGCAGGGGTGGAAGTGCTGCATCACTTGCGCCATGATGGGACAATCTGACCTGTTGCCCCAAGTCGCGCTTAAATGCAATTTCAATGTGCAATGCCAAATTTAATTGAGAGTTTTGTCATTGACTGAGAAACACGCTTGGGCTAAACAAAAAGACGACGTCCATCAAACGCATTTCGGATCGTGTGTGAATCTTGCGTCACATGAACACAATGCATGATTCTAGTTAAGGTGACATTTATGTGCATACCTGATTATTCGACTATGCATGATTTAACAGCAAAGCTGTTAGGCTAACTATAAAGACGACAGTGCTGTTGCAAGAAACTGTACTGCACCAATGCCGAGCAGCTCTCGAGCGCGTGCTGTGCTGTGCGGTTGCTCGGCAACAGTGCAGTGAGTTTTTTGCCTTATAAACTGAAAAATAAAATTAAGAATCAGTGTCACCAGTGTAGCGATAAATTCAATAGCAAGAAATTGTAATGTTGTAATGATGCCGTATGCGCTTTTTCCTTTCTACTTTTGTTACTGCACCATTACGCGTGTAATGCTGCCTTGCGTAACTCATGCCCGAATGACTGGGTACGCTCTAGATAATCTTAGAGCCCTCCGATGAGATAATGTGCACATCGCGTACATTACAGTTTGTTGTGTAACTTTTGCCGCGTGCTAGCGATAACTCTGGCATCTTCAAAGGCACATGTATATACATAAGTGGTGCAGCACTTTGCGCGCGGCAGATTATTGACAGCCGACACTCTATGTTCACTGCTATTGCTCTACAGCATGTATTGCTTGTAGAGTGATGTTTCGTCTTCCGGGCACAGGTTAGCCCAAATATATAGTTCACTCATGAAAATAGCGACTGCTGCCTTCGTCGGCTTCACGACCCCGTGACAATACAAAGGCTGACAGCTAACTTTTTTGGATCCGATATCTCGACGCTCACAACTACAAAACGCTAATGTAAGATAATAAGTACGGCCGCACCAGAGAGAAGTGCTCTTATCGCACAATCTCTTCTCGTTGAGAGCGGACCTTGTAAAACGGTTTACAAGCCCCCAGCTGATGCTTGCCGATATCGCGCACGCCAGCTATCGTAACCATGCCGTTGATTAAAATCAAAGTTCACGGCTGCTGCTCAAGCGACCCCCCCTTTCCCCCGCGTTTTTTCATGCCCGTTCCAGATGGGTGGTGTGTCTCCTCTCCGTTTGAGCATTCGACGGCAGTTCTAACATGCAGTGGGATGCTAACATGTGCGCCCTCCGAGCGACAGAGATTGGCCGTGCCATTTAATCTTTGCTTGAGCAGCGATTCTCACTCCAGCTTGCACAGTTTTGCGCGCAGGTCAAACGTACGATGCGCGCGCAATAGTATCAACTCGTAGTTTACGTGGAACATGGTGGCGATGGCAAAAACCTGTCAAGTGTCCAGATTATTTCTATCGTAATAAAAAAAATTTTCACTTAATCGCCTAGCAATCGTGCGGCGAGCGCATCGGAATTTTTATTCTTATAGAGCCCTATGGGTTTAGTATGAAGATATCTTTTTATATAGTAGCTCATCTCTAGTCTTCACTTGCTGTTCATGTTGGATGGGGTGTTTTAATCACATTTTGAACATTACAACATTTTATCATTATTTTTTTCCATTCGTTTGAGGTCTAGTAACTGTCCGAAATGCTGCTTATGTTTTTTTTAGTTTCTGCGCTTTAATCTTTGATGGTGCAAGGTTTAATAGATAAGAATTTCGGGTAAGTCTAGTCCCTTGGTCAGCATTGCATGCTTAGTAAAAACCACTGAAATGTCTTGTGTTTACCGAAAAACAAAAAGTTCAATTAACAGTGATGTGTGGTCTGAAAAATCTGCTCCAAAATTTAATTTCGAAGCACTAAAACACACCTTTCGCTGCTCAAGGCTGCTCCAAAACTGCATTATTCCTGCTCCTAAAGCTGCTCCAAAAGACTGAAGCTTGCTTCCACCCCTGTACGTGCAGGTCAACATTCTGTTCAACTCCCGCATGAGGATTTATCAGGAATGAGGCAAAAAGTACACAAGTTCACAAGGTGCAAAAGACAACGCCAAGCTTTCTCCATGACGCCGAGTTAGCTGAGTTCCGAGCATTTACATGTTGGGGATATTGATGTCACTTGTGACTTTGTAGCTGGTAGCTGCGGCTTTCACTTGCTATGATGCGAAAAGCTATGAAAAGTGTAGCATCTGAGATGCTAAAATATGTCATCGCTAAATATGTCATCGCTAAATATGTCAACGCTAAAAATATGTCATCGATTGCGCATCTCGAAGCCCATGATTTTCAGGCTCAGATTTCATGCACTAACAAACAAGGAAGAGAATGCGAACATTGCACGAAGACCGCCGAATCACTACGCAATCTCATTTGGTGTCCTCAGCAATCGTTCTTTTTGAGAAACACTATGCCCATGCATTAAAACCTGGAGGTCGTGCATCAAACATACCGGTGCACTCGCAAGCGCCGTGCAACTAACGAGGTCAGCGCAATGCATTAATACTGCCTCTTTGTCACCTGAGCACAAAAAGGGATCGTAACTTGTTAGAACGCTGCCGAAAGTTGATCAATATGTGCTAGGAAAAATGCACTTTCTGGGATTCAGCGCTGTGCAGCGTTTGATAAAGCAGATGTCCCGCTGTGGGTGAGTTCGATATATGGGTGCAACGGTCCCACACTTTTGCATGAGAAATTCAAGGGGATCTCTCGACTTAATTGATTCTAATCACCATGCCCCCCAAAAATTGTTTTTTCTGAATCACCAGTTAATACCTGCCTGAATTGTCCGGTGGACTCCCGAATTTCGGCCTAATTTCTCAACTGTACGAATGCTATCAGAATCTCGAATGCTATGGGAGTCCCCCGAAAAGTGGCCGTTACAGCAGAGGCATTTTTTGAAAATCATGCGTGCACATCACTGCTTTTTCTACTTAGAAAGTGGTGGGGCTGCAATAAGTTCATTGTAAACATACCGTATAAACCCTCTAAGTATATTCTAGGCGCTGCAGTACCGTGCATCTAGGCAAAGGCTAGCGGCTGCAAGACCCTCTTGCCACCGTACCGAAAGAAGGTGAGGCCGCTTGGACTCTGCATTTTAT